ATATTTGATTTTTTAGTTAATGTTTATATTCTAATTACCGGCTTTAGCTACCGCACACAGACTGATGATCAATAGACAACAAATTCTCACGAGACTTGTAAACATTTCTATAGAAATTTTCAAAACGAAGCGCTAGAACGGCAAGAACAGTTCACGTCTGAATCAAGCGCCAGTTGATCGTTGACTGATATGTCCCCGGCAATCGGAATGCTGTATTCGAAATTGTTCTCAACATTGATAAGATACTCTGAGAATATCTGAGATTCAGTTCGAACATATACAGTAGAACATGAATAAACAAATATGTATACATGTATGTATTGGTGTCCAGAACAGTAGTATCTAGTTAATTGAATTGCAGTACAGCAGAGCAATGGATACCAAGCCACCCAGCACATGCAATGCAAATCCTAGATAAACAAACCGGCTTCAATGTGCAGCATCACTTGACAATTTTGTGGTATTTCTGGTGTAAGCATTACGCCATGAATCATTCTGGAGAATGGAAGATGTTCTGTGTGTATGTGACATGTATAAATAATGATGAGCTCTTTTTGTTTATTGTCATTATTTAGAAAATCGCGAGCGTTGGGGATTCCAGCTTTTTTGAGGTTTTCCACTATGAGAATTACTACATCAGTTGTTGATTGGGCAAAGATTATTTTGCACTGGGAATAAATGAAGAACAATGACACTAATTCTATTTAGAAGATAGGTGTTTGCAGTTCACACTCAGGGGGCCTCTTATAGGTTCATCTAGAATCATGTAATTAGCACACCCTCTGCTGCCATAATATTTTAATCAATCAACGATTTGTTTTTTGGATTAGTTATACCTTCCCTCATAAGGTTGTGTGCATATTAAATTTTTTATTCGATTTGTAACACCTCGAAATATTCATCGGAGGCCCTATATATATATATATATATATATTGATCAAAATTAAATTCTATGTCGATTAAGCCATGTTCCCCTGTTGAAATCACGATAGAACTCGTAATATTTAAAATAGAGGTTTGAAATTTTACACATATATTGTTACTACTCCTGAAATGTTTGGTACTAAAAATGAGATACATCGATCCCCGGTTCTCTCAAAGGCTGAGTTTTTGGAAATTCGTACTAGAATAGAACGAAAAAAAATGTGTAGAACTCTTAAATTTGAAATGAGGGTCACTGTCACTGACGGAGTGTACAATAGAAACCAAAGGGTTTTTGGAAATTCAAACTATGAATATCCAAAAAGTTCTAAAATGTAATAAATTTGGTACAATTTCGTGGCATGTGAATGGGTGGAAATAAAGAACTTGAAATTTGGAATGCAAATTAAGGTTGAGAAGTAAGGTCGACAATATGAAGTGGGTTTGGAAGTCTGTAGACATGTATACGAAAAGTACTAAACGGTACAAATTTGGTACAATTTGCATTTGTAGGAACGAAATGAGCTGGAATTCTGAAATTTTAAATTAATATTACCGTCGGTGTGTATGCCTTGGATATGTAGGTAGTTTTAGATAAATGTACGAAAGTACTAAATTGTAATTTATCTTGTACAATTTGAATTTGGGTCAACCGATAGAGGTGCAACACTGAACTTTGAAAATAAAATTACTACAACATTTCAGAATTCATGTAAGATATTAGTTTGGGAAATTCGTACTTATATGTACTAAATTTGGTGCAATTTGAATTTTGGGTGAACCAATAGAGCTGGATTCTTGGAATTTGGAGTTAGGATCACTGTTTGGTCGTAGGATTGTGGTATGTAGGAAGATTGGGAAATTGCCACCAACGTGTACTACACAGTACTGAATTAGGTACAATTTGGATTTAAGTGAACTGATAGAGCTGGAGCACTGAAATTGGGAAATAAGATTATTGTTGGAGTGTAGAATTGAGATATGTAGGTAGTTTTGTGAATTCGAACATATGTGTTCTAAATCGTACTACATTTGGTACAATTTTAATTTTGTGGAGAACCAATAAAGGTAGAAACCTGAAATTTGAAGTTTCTGTTGTGGTGTAGGATTGGGATATGTAGGTAGTTTTGGACATTTTTTATTATGTGTACGAAAAGTACTAAACTTTATACAATTTGGATTTAGGTGAACCGATAGAGCTGTAATACTTGCAATTAATACTACTGTTGGAGTGTAGAATTGAAGTACACAAATAGTTTTGGAAATTTGTACTTATGGGTACTAAATGCTACTAAATTTAATTCAATTTGGATTTAGGTGAACCGAAAGAGCTGGAATCCTAAAATTTGGAATTAAGATTACTTTTGGAGTGCAAAATTGAGGTATATGGTAGTTTTGGAAATTTTGAATTTTGGGTTAAAGTTAGAATCCTTTAATTATGGTCGGAATTGGTTTTAAAATAATTCCCACATTTGCTAACGAAGTAGTGGACATATGCAGTAAATCAATATAATTAGAATTAATTTGAAGGTCAACCACACATCTTGGATATGATGACAACATATCCCTTCTATCCCATTCTTCAAATATCTTCCGTGCAATGTGCATAGTTACTTTAGAGGATATACATAAAATCACTTTCTGAGTGGATTTATGTATGTCCATCAGTCCATGTAGAATTGTAAACAAAGTGCAGGTCGAACTTTCGATCCGAATGTAATGGAATTTGGTACAGCTAATTTATTTCGGTTCAGATTTAGATATAGCTCCCATAGATTCGTCATATTTTAAATAGTGTATCAAAGTCCACATTTTTGTCCAATAGAGACGAAAGTATAGCGACGAGAGGATAACATAAGAATTGAGTCCAAAATTACGTGTATGTATTAGGTTTTATTGACATCGGTTACTAGACAACCATTGCTCGTACACACTCTGTTTTTGAGGTCTGCATGTCCGGAAATCTTAAAAAAATTATTTTCATATCATATTGGCTTTCGTAAAATATCATACAAAATGAAATCCTACTCAGTGGAGAAATATTATGTTCTCGACTGAATTAAAGTTTCATATTTAAGACTCTGACGCGAAAAATTAATTTTGTCATTCCGTTTGTAACTCATCGAAATATTCATTTCCGACCTTATAAAGTATATATATTCTTGATCAGGGCAAAATTCTAAGATCTAGCCATGTCCTTCCGTCCGTCTGTTGAGATAGGGTGCTGAAATTTTGCATACGTTTGTCTTTTGTCTGCAGGCAGGTCAAGTTCGAAGATGGGATATATCGGTCCACGTTTAGGCATAGCTCCCATATAACAGTACCTCCCAATTTTCGGTATTTTGGGGTTCCTGAGCTCGTTTTTCAATCGAATACGCTGAAATTTGGTACATTGAGTTCTTATTGGGTAGTATTTTGAGTTCTTAATAGGTACCAAATATCCTCACAAAAAATATGAGAATATGCATAGAATCACTTTCTGTGTCGATTTATGCATGTCCGTCCGTCCGTCTGTCCGTCTGTCCGTCTGAAGATGTTAAATTGTAAACAATGTACAGGTCGCATTTATGATCCGATTTGAATAAAAGTTGGCACAACTCACTTATTTGGCCCAAGGACGAACCCTATTGAAATTTTGAAAAATCGGTTCAGATTTAGATATAGCTCCAATATATATTTTCGTCCGATTTAAGGTAAATAGTGTACCGAAGTCCCTATATATCTTTCGATTTCCACGAAATTTGTCATAGCACACTCAATTAAGTCTAAAATGATATGTGCTGAGTTTTGTGGAAATCGGTTCAGATTTAGATATAGCTCCCATATATAGTTTCGTCCGATTTTATGTAAATGGTTCACCAAAGTCCCTATATATCTTTCGATTTGAACGAAATTTGGCCTAGGGTACTGAATTAGGTCCAGAATGATTTGTGCTAAGTTTCGTGAAAATCGGTTCAGATATAGATATAGCTCCCGTGCATATTTTCGTCCGATTTAATGTAAATGGTGCACCAAAGTTCCTATATATCTTTCGATTTGCACGAAAGTTGGCATAGGGTACTGAATTAGGTCTAGAATGATTTGTGCTAAGTTTCGTGAAAATCGGTTCAGTTATATATATAGCTCCCGTATATGTTTTAGTCCGATTTTATTTAAATGGTCCACGAAAGTTCTTATATATTTGTCGATTTGCACGAAATTTTGCATAGTGTACTGAATTGAGTCTAGAATTACGTATGTTAAGTTTCGTGAAAATCGGTTCAGATTTAGATATAGTTCCCATACATATTTTCGTCAGATTTTAAGTTAATGGTGCACCAAAGCTTCTATATATAAGTTGCCTTGAAATCGGTTCAGATGTAGATATGGCTTAGCTTCCATGAATCATACCAAATAGCGTGTGTACATTTTTTTTAAATCTATTTACAAAATCTAGAATAGGTTGCAGAGTGGCATGTGTTGGTATTGAAATTTTCATGTTAATATTCATGTTAATATTCCTTCGAAAATACCCAAAGTCGGCCCAGTCCGGCTTTACTACTTTCCTTACTGGTTTATATTAAAATAGTTATCTGATTTGTTCCGCGATTTGAGTTTGGTTCTAAGACTCTGTTGTAAGCGAGATACGAAATTATAACGTAAGGTTCGATAATGAACTATAGCCGCATTTAGATCTACCCCTGTGTGGAGGTTTCAGAAGGAGTGAACCGATATTCCCCATCTATGAATTTGAACTAAGTTTGGAAGAAATAATAAGATGGGCAAAGTTTGAATGAAATGATTCTTTGCATATTCTCAAAAGGAGCAATCTTTCTATTTCGTTTCCTTTTGCCTGTTACAAACATATGCACAAAGACATAATACGCTACAGGTTATTTATTCAGTTTGCAATTTCAGATTTCTTGTGTTGTATTGTGAAATGTAATTATATTACTTACATTCAAATTATATTTAATCAATTACAATTTTATTTTTTTTTTCGTATAAATCACATTGTTAGGACACTTTGAAGATTTTTTAATTATTTAATTCCACATGCAATGTGTTATTTACAAAACTAATTTATACCACTCAAATATCTATGGTAACAAATTGCCAATTATCCAATCCATATAACTTCCAACTTTGGTATGAACACTAGGCCAGCCTTCGAAACCACATGGTGCAGGTCCATAGGATACAATACCAGCGACAATGTACACATTTGCACCATCAGTATTTTCGATTACCATCAGAGGTCCACCAGAATCACCACTACACACATCGATGTCAGCCTCACCTCCAACGCATAGTTGTGATTCTGGACTTATGGTTATTCCGAATAATCTATAATTGATCTCACATACTTCTATATTTTGAACTTTAGGCCTTATCCTTAATTTTACTGAACTGATTGTACCATTTTCGGTTACACCCCATCCAGCTACTTCCGTTTCGTAAGATGTATACAATTTGGTGCGTAGTTCTTCGGAAATCGGTAAACATATTGGTATTATGTGCATTACATTGGGAACACTTTGTCTTAGACGCACAAGTGCAATATCATTTAGTTGGCTAGGCGATGTGGGTCTATACAACGGATGGACAATTGCGTAGTCAATTCGAATATCAATATGGGGCGCAATGCAGCTTCTACGTCCGCGTATATCTTCAATACAATCTGGATCTTCTCTTAAATCCCATTCTCCCAAACGTGCAGCAAATAATTGCCATTCAATTGGTATTTTTGGATTTGCGATACAATGTGCAGCTGTTAGGATATAATGTGAATTTATCAGACTGCCACCACAGAAGAAAACATAGTCCTTGGGGGCTGCAAAAATTCAAAAAAAGGGAGCCAAAAAAAACATTAAGAGCTTTAAATAAGTGCAAAAATACCCTTTTTGTATTGTATTAAAGCCATCCATGGAAATTCGTCGATTTCGGTTACATTTCCGCCATAGATTCGATTCGACAAATATCTTCCACATTTCCCTGGTTCGGGTAATTCATTAGCTGGTGTTGTATTTCTTCCACCATTATTGGACCTTTCTATCTTACGATATTTTTCAGGACAGCAAACCTGTAAAATTATAAAAAAAATAATGTTAATGATTTTCAATTTGTATCGTTTATACTACCAATGTTCTTTCCGCACGGGGTTTTGGTTCACTGTAATAACCACACTGACTATTTCGTAGAAATTGTCGCGTTTCATCAGTCATATTTCTCTTTAACATATTCCGTAAGTATTTGCATTCGGCGATATTTATGCAAATTCCATTTTCTCCATGGGGATTTACACAGCTGCTGTAGGCTACCTTGGAGGCTAAATTAGTAATAGAACAAAAAATAATAATGTATTCTTATTAATATCAATGAAGTCAAAATTTCTAGTTGGTGTTGGAATTATAATTCCATAGAGAAACTTTTACAGTACCATATATGCCGATTTTACGAATGTTACGAGTCTATGCGAAAACATAAAGGTAGATATACCTAATTTTTATAAACTTAATTTTGTGCGCCATACCGCCTCTTAATGGCGTTTTTAATTATCATAGCTCCCATATATGAATTTGTCGTACCAAACCTTCTTGACGTTTCAGTCTACTTCTTAGATTTATTCAATTCTTGAAATATTCTATATAAAGTGGTAGACCATGGTTTTGGTTTTGCTAAAGAATGAGTAAATGTTCAAAATTTTAGAAAATATACTTCGAATTTCTCGAATCTTCGATGCTGTATTAAAACTTAATTTTAAAATCTGAAAAGAACATTAAATGTATACCGCAGAAATGAATTTCCATTACAATTGGCTGATATGTTAGACGAACATATCCTTGACCTCTCAAATATGTTGGATCCAATCCCAAACTGATTACTGTGTTTATTATGACGGTCGAAAATTCTGTTTCTGTTAATCCTTCTAATTTAAAAGCCTTGTCAAAAATGTTATACATATGTGGATGTATTCTACATTTAGTTCTTTTAACTCGTTTTGTATTCTGGGACCCAGGTATGTTGAGTTTTTGGGAATACTCTCCAAACATTTTCTTTACTTCCCCTCAAAGCGATGTCTTCCCATTCACACAATAAAATTGTATCAATGGTCACTTCAACTTTATACTTTAGTTCTGTTTAGGCGAGGAGTTTGCTCTACTCCTGTGGTGTGGTGGTTGGGGGTGTTCAATGTATTCACTCAAGGGAGCGGGGTGAAGCGACAACGATAGCTCCCAAGCAGATAATGGTTTCTGGAAAAGAAAAGAATGGTCAACTGAAATAAAACGCAAGGAAATATTAGTTAAATTATCTTAATAATCTCGGTTTTATTGGTGGTAATCTTTTCTTTATTACAACAAATAAATTACCTGTTGTAATTTATGGTGGCGGCGCTGAGACCTGTTAATAACGCGTAGACGTTATGCGTAGACAGTTTAACTCTAAGGAGGTTGGTCGACAAGTGAACGCTGTGGGTACTTCCAACTAGAGAATCTCAGAAGATTGCGGTGAACGCTGAGGATCGGTTGTCATTTACTACTACATTTACATATTCCAATGGGAGAAAAGTGTCGAGCAAGGAGAGCAAAACAGCAACAACCACCGCTCGGTGGCATCTGCACTCTACGGTCTCCGCTGAAGGAACTTGCAGAGGAGATGCCCGTGGTGTCAATCAGCAGACGTGATTGAATGAGCTCGGGAAGTTGAGTCTGAACGTATCAAACTTATACAAGTTCTTTAAATATACCTGAAACTTGTTTCTCTAGTGGGAGGTACCCGAAGGAGAGGGCAGACGGGACCCACCTTCAGACCTAATCTAGGCTTGGTAAAGATAATAGGTTGTGCAATGTTTGGATCAAATGGGACATTCGATTCTCCTAATATTGGATTTACAAATATTGAAAATGATGACACCTTCTGGGGGAGGTACCAGAGAGAGTGGCTTGGTATATCTGTACAAAGTTTGGATCAAATTGAATAGTCTGTTCGCATGATGCAGAAGGAGTGTACCGATATCCCCATCTTTGAACTTGAACTAATTTTGAAAGAAATATTGCAATGTGCAATGTTTGTATGAAATCGGTTACTCCCTTCGAGAGTTATCGAGCACACCAGCCGGCCGGACGGATATTTGTAAATCGAAACGGATTTGGTCCAAAGAAACATGGGGTCTAAAACCAATATTTCGATGAGGCACAATTTTGTCAATGTGTATGTACATAACCTCATTAGCCATAAGACTGAGGGTATAAATATTACCATAGTCCAAGTTTTGGGGTAGCCCCCATAGAGCGGTACCACCGATTATTTGGTATTTTGGGATCTTTGAACACGTATTTCAAACAAATTGACCTATTTTGATATTTTGGTCTCTCAAGCGGTATCAAACCTTCCCAAAAAAACAAAAAATTGAATACCGGTCCACGCTTGCTATAGCTCCCATATATCGATACCACCAAATTTTCGGTGTTTTGATGGTTTCAACCACCATAGTAACTGTAGCTTCCAACTGCCGGATTTTATATATGTAAAAACCATATTCCCAGGTTCTAGTTGCGTGAAACAAATTTATATTGAACATTTTTTACATTGGTTTTCTTTTGGCGTGGTCCCCAAAGGTTTTATTTTTTTTCAACCTGCGCGTCTGTAATTTGTTTTTCACTTTTCCAAATAAACAACCTACTAGCAGACAATTTACAATGAAATAGTCATCATGTGCTGGAGGGTATTAAAAGTTCCACCCGGCAATGCGTTTTTTGAATTGTGAAATTATTCATATGCGATTCTATTGTCAAAACAAACCGTAAAATTTAAAGGTCAAAAGAGTATTATCTGCCTCCGAATTCAGTGTTCACCATAAGAAAATCGTCAATACTACCCATAAAGTACTATTGTCGCTATATATTTTTAAATACAAAAATCATAAGGGGATAATGCAAATTGCAGATTTCCTTTAATATTGAGGTGTACATTAGCCGCCGATCTAATTGAACATTTATAAAAAAACACTTTCAAGATTAAAAAAAAAAACACTAAATATGGGCCACCGAAATTACGCACCAAACATGAATGATACAAGTAAAAAAATTTTTCCACCTGGAGGTATTCAAATTCATGTTTTACTTTGCCTCAAAAATTGCATTCTCAATTCTTGTATTTTAATGCAATGTTATATTTGCTTCTTATTACCGACCGACGTTAGCTGCCACACACAAGCTGACCCATAGACACACATTTCTCAAGACTTTAGTAAACATTTTTTAATTCGAATAATTGCCACGCACGGGTAAGGCAATTCACGGCTTATCGAAGTGCCGGACGAAAATCAACTGAATATTATTCTGCAATGCAGAAGCCAAATTTTGAAACATTGATAAGACATTCTAAAAATTTAGAATGTTGAATTAGTGTTTGCTAATACGATGTCTGATCAAAGGAACTAATTTTGCAACGTATCGTGAGTTCTGGATGTTCGATGTTCGCGGGGAGTCGAAAACTATGCGGATAGAACTTCGAAACCTGGAATATTGTCACTGCAATGTTGTAAATGTAGAAATTTTCAATATGTCGTAGATTTTCAACACATTACCATTCCTTCATCTCTTTCAAAGGGTATTAGAGATTCTAACGAAATGACAGATTTTTAATAATATATAATAACTTTATTTCCAAAAAATAATCAGAATAAGCGCAAGAAAAAATATCGGAATCCAGAAGACCTTAAATCGGTAGAGACCTTCATTTGTATCTTGTCTGTTTTTTATTTTTATACTCTGAGTAAATGATATGCTCAATAAAAGACACTCGGGTTGGAAAATTTGACTAGAACATTCTATGGGGGTTTGGTTAAAATATAATCTGATATTGAAAATTGTTTGCAAAAAAGTTGCTTACCCTTCAAGAAGACTTGGAGCGGTGCCGTTATATGGATCACAAAACATGAACCTACATTGACATTTTTCTGCGAAAAAAAATCTGCATTAGAGTCACTTCAATGCGATTAAAACCTTAAAAATTACAAAAATGGGTTCGATATATCCCATTTGCACTACTAAACATTCTAGGAGTAGTAGTAGATAATTGGTATGCTAACACTTGATATGGGATGCATCAAGTGTTAAAATATATTTTTTTATATATTTATTGTAAATAGTTTTTTCACAGTTAAAAAAAAATAAAATGTTAAATAAAATTGTCGGTACGAGCAATTTTTTCCATTTCTATTCTCCTTGCCCCTCTCTCCTATAAAGAAAGACTTGCCGAAAGTAAACTCGCCTAATCTAAATTGGGACAAATGAAACGAAATGGAAATCCCCAAATTTAATGGCAATTTGTCTTATAATAGACCAATGAAACATACATTAAGTTCCATACACATGACAACAAACGGATCAAAGTACAAAAATTCGAATCGGAAAATAACAGGAATTCCAAAATTAAAATACAATGATTTAAAATTTAGTTGTGATAATAAAAATGAACTCTTGCCATCAGTATTGAATTCAATAAATTAATTCCCAATTTATTGAAAAATAACCGAAACTGATTCGGGAGAGTTTGTCAGTCTCCTAATGTGGGAAAATGTGGACGATCAAGTTAATCTATTACAATCAGTCAATTCTGGGGGTAATGGGATAGTTTGATCACCCACCATTAGTACTGGCGGGTGTCGTTGATCTGCACACGAGTCACGCCCGTCGTCACCTTATCTCATACATATGTGTGTGTTTTTGCATCTGTAGTCGAGGGTAAAATGGATATAACCACAGGGGAAGAACAATCCCGACGCAACCTTCCGAGATAGGCGGGGACTCAAAATCAAATTTCAAGTCGAAAGTAAAAAAAAAACATTACGGTCATTGAATGCCGGAGGAGTAAGTAATGATATCGATAAGCTCACAACAATGAAGAAACAGTTATCTAGGATACAAAGGCGAAAACCGGCCAAATTGAACGGGACAGCGAATAGCAAACGAATGTTCAGAAGGATATTTCTGACATTCCCTCCTCGAAATCGGCGAAGAGGACGATAGCAGGCGAGGGCCGATAAAGATACAATGTAGGACATGGAACACCGCAGTCAGAGATTCTGTCACCACTATAAACAGTCTCTGATGAGGAATTTGAACCCGTCTGTTATGCCATTAGCTGTCACACACATCTAAGGTCAGATTATACTACATCTAAGGTCAGGAATTTTAGTTACAAAAAGTCCAGAGAACAT